CTTAAAAAAAAAAAAAAAAAAAAATGGGTTAAGAAAAAAAAAAAAAAAAAAAAATCGGCCAGACACAGTGGGGCTCATGGCCTATAATCTTGCGCACTTCTGGGAGGCCAGAGGCTTGCCCTGAGCAGAAAAAAATAACTGGCTTGATGCTTAAGTCCAAGGAGTTTAGCGACCAACTGGGCGGCAAAATGGATCCCATGCTCTTATTAAAAAATTAAAAATAAAGTTAGCCAGTCCATGGCACAACCGCTGTCCCAGGCTACTCAGTGAGGCTGGGGTGGGGATCACTGTGAGTCCAGGGTTTTGAGATGCAGTTGAGCCATGATGTTACCACTTTACTCTAGCCCTGGACGAACAAAGGTGAGGACCAGTCTCAAAAAATGATTAGGCAATTTTTCAAAAATTAAGTCTAAAATAAAGGCTGAGCGTGGCGTGGCTCACGCCTGTAATCCCGGCTTTGTGAGGCTGGAGCGCGGGTGTGGATCACGAGGGTCAGAGTTCGAGACCAGGGCTGGGCCAACATGGTGAAACCCCATCTTTATACTAAAAATATGAAAATTTAGCTGGGCGGTGGGTGGCGGGGTGCCTGAGTCCCAGCTACTTGGGAGGCTGAGTGCAGAAAGAATCGCACTTGAACCTGGGGGCAGAAGCTTGCCAGTTGAGGCCGGATCGCCCATTGGCACTCCAGACTTGGAGACCAGTACGAGGACAGACATCCTACAAATAAAATAATAATAATACTTTTAGCCAGAGACAAGCGTATGCCAAGGTGGTCTCGACACTTCCTGGCCTCAAGTTGATCTCCTGCCCTGGGCCTGCCTAAACTCTGAGTTTAAAGGATATGGAGCCCACTCGTGTAGGCCTAGGGAGCATTTGTTCATATACGTATTTGCACCTGCTAACATTCTTTTTTTTTTTTTTTTGAGGATGGAGGGTCTCACTCTATTCGCCCAGGCTGGAGTGCAAGGTTGGCATGGATCTCAGGCTCACTGCAACCTCTGCCTTCCGGGTTCAAGGATTCTCTTGCCTCAGACTCCTGAGTATTTGGGATTACAGGCACGTGCTACCACGCCCGGCTAATTTTTGTATTTTTAGTAGAGACTGGGTTTCACCATGTTGGTCAGGCTGGTCTCAATCTCCTGACCTCGTGATCTGCCCGCCTCACCTCCCAAAGTGCTGGGATTACAGGCATCAGCTGCCACGCCTGTCCACCATCTGTACATCATCTTTGGTAAGGTGTCTGTTAAGGTATTTGGCCCATTTTAAATTTTTTATTTTATCTTCTTTCAGATCAAGTAAACAAAATGGCCCATTTTTTAAAAATAGGATACTTTGTTTCCGTATTGTTGAGTTTTAAGAGTTTTTTGTTTATTTTGGTTAATAGTACTTATGTCTTTTGCAAATATTTTCTCCCAGTCTGTAGCTTAATTTTTCGTTCTCTTGACAGTGTCTTTTGCAAAGCAGAAAATTTTCATTTTAATGAAGTCAACCTTTATCAATTATTTCTTTCATAGGATTATACCTTTGGTGTTATATCTAAAAAGGAATCACCAAACCCAATGCCATCTACATTTTCTCCTATGTTATCTTCTAGGAGTTTTATACTTTTGAGCATTTATACCCTTTGCCCACTTTTATGTTTGTTTTTTGTTTTTTCTTATTGATTTGTAGGAAGAACACTGTTTCAGGCCAGGCATGGTGGCTCACACCTGTAATCCCAGCACTTTGGGAGGCTGAGGTGGGCGGATCACTTGAGGTCAGGAGTTCAAGACCAGCCTGGCCAACATAGGAAATCCCGTCTCTACTAAAAATACAAACAACAACAACAACAACAAAACAGCTGGGTGCAATAGCTCACACCTGTAATCCCAGCATTTTGGGAGGCTGAGGCAGGTGGATCACCTGAGGTCAGGAGTTCAAGACCAGCCTGGCCAACATGGTGAAACCCTGTCTCTACTAAAAATTTAAAAAAAAAAAAAAAAAATAGCCGGGCGTGGTGGTGGGCGCCTATAATCCCAGCTACTTAGGAGGCTGAGGCAGGGAGAATCACTTGAACCTGGGAGGTGGAGGTTGCAGTGAGCAGAGTGTGTGCCACTGCACTCCAGCCCAGGCAACAGAACAAGACTCTGTCTCAAAACAAAAATAAATTAGCCGGGCGTGGTGGTGGGCGCCTATAATCCCAGCTACTTAGGAGGCTGAGGCAGGGAGAATCACTTGAACCTGGGAGGTGGAGGTTGCAGTGAGCAGAGTGTGTGCCACTGCACTCCAGCCCAGGCAACAGAACAAGACTCTGTCTCAAAACAAAAATAAATTAGCTGGGCACGTGGCATGTGCCTCTAATCTCAGCTACTCAGGAGGCTGAGGGAGGAGAATTGCTTGAACCCTATAGGGGGAGGCTGCAGTGAAGTGAACTGAGATCGGGCCACTGCACTCCAGCCTGGGCGACAGAGTGAGACTCTGTCTCAAAAAACAAACAAACAAACAAAAACACTAAGAACATGAATAGACAATTCTCAAAAGAAGATACACAAATGGCCAAAAAAAAAAATAAAAATTGTTCAACATAGGCCGGGCGCGGTGGCTCAAGCCTGTAATCCCAGCACTTTGGGATGCCAAGGCAGGAGGAGATCACGAGGTCAGGAGTTCGAGACCAGCCTGGCCAACATGGTGAAACCCCATTTTATTAAAAAAAAAAAAAAAAGTTTGTAATACAAGGTGGCGGGCGCCTGTAGTCCCAGCTACACAGGAGGCTGAGGCAGGAGAATGGCGTAAACCTGGGAGGCGGAGCTTGCAGTGGGCTGAGATCCGGCCACTGCACTCCAGCCTGGGCGACAGAGCAAGACTCCGTCTCAAAAAAAAAAAAAAAAAAAAATTGTTCAACATCACTAATTATCAGGGAAATGCAAATCAAAACCACTAATTATCAGGGAAATGCAAATCAAATCCACTAATTATCAGGGAAATGCAATACCACCTTACTCCTGCAAGAATGGCCATAATCAAAAAATCAAAAATAACAGATTTGGCATGGATGTGGTAAAATGGGAACACTTTTACACTGTTGGTTGAATACAACCACTATGGAAAACAGTGTGGAGAGTCCTTAAAGTGTTAAAAGTAGATCTATCATTTGATCCAGCAAACCCACTCCTGGGTGTCTACTCAGATGAAGTCATTATATGAAAAAGATACTGACACATACATGTTTATGGCAGCACAATTTGCAATTGCAAAAATATGGAACCAGACCAAATGCCCATCGATCAATGAGTGGAAAAAGAAAATAATACACACACACACACGCACACACACACACACACCATGGAATACTACTCAGCCATAAAAAGGAACTAAATAATTGTATTTGTAGCAACCTGGATGGAATTGGAGACCATTATTCTAAGTGAAGTAACTCAGGAATGGAAAATCAAACATCGTTATATTCTCCCTCATAAGTGGGAGCTAAGCTTTGAGGATACAAAGGCAGAAGAATGACACAGTTGGACTTTGTGGACTCGGGAAAGGGTAGGACAGGGGTGAGGGATAAAAGACTATACAGTGGTTACAGTGTACACTGCTCTAGTGATCGGTGTACCAAAATCTCAGAAATCACCACTAAAAAACTTATTCATGTAACCAAATACCACCTATTCCCCCAAAACCTATTGAAATAAAAAATAAATAAATACAATTTTTAAAAAAGATAGTACACTGTTTCAATATCTATGCGACCCCAAACTTGGTGGCATAAAACAACCACCATTTTATTTGGCTCATAGATTTTACGCAACAGGAATTTGGACTGGGCACAGCAGGGTATCAGCTGGAGGGACTCAGATGACCAGAATAATCTGGAGTCTCTTTCATTCACATGTGTAGCATCTGGGCTAGGATGACTCAAAAGCTGGGTTTAGTTGGGATTGTTGACCTGAGCACCTAAAGATGGCCTCTTCAAGTGGCTTGGGCTCACAAGTTCATGGCTGGGTTCTAAGAGGAAGTATCCTAAGAACAAGCATGTTCCAAGAGACTTAGGCAGAAACTGAATAGCTTTTTATGACACAACCATGGAAGTCACACAGCATCACTTATTCTGTAGTCTGTTCATTGAAACAGCCACAAATTACCCACCTTCATGGAGAGAGGATATGGACTCAACTTCTCAATGAAATCTATGTCAAAGCATTGAAGATCATGTTTAAAAAACCATCTTGTGGGGGCCGGGCACGGTGGCTCAAGCCTGTAATCCCAGCACTTTGGGAGGCCGAGGCGGGTGGATCACGAGGTCAGGAGATCGAGACCATCTTGGCTAACACGGTGAAACCCCGTCTCTACTAAAAAATACAAAAAACTAGCCGGGCGAGGTGGCGGGCGCCTGTAGTCCCAGCTACTCGGGAGGCTGAGGCAGGAGAATGGCGTGAACCCGGGAGGCGGAGCTTGCAGTGAGCTGAGATCTGGCCACTGCACTCCAGTCTGGGCGACAGAGCGAGACTCTGTCTCTGGAAAAAAAAAACAAAAAACAAAAAACATCTTGTTTGCCTGAGGTCAGGAGTTCGAGACAAGCCTGGCCAACATGGTGAAACCCCGTCTTGCCAGGCGCAGTGGCTCATGCCTGTAATCCCAGCACTTTGGGAGGCCGAGACGGGTGGATCACGAGGTCAGGAGATCGAGACCATCTTGGCTAACACGGTGAAACCCCGTCTCTACTAAAAATACAAAAATTAGCCAGGCATGGTGGCGGGCACCTGTAATCCCAGCTACTCGGGAGGCTGAGGCAGGAGAATTGCTTGAACTCGGGAGGCAGAGGTTGCAGTGAGCCGAGATCGCACCACTGCACTCCAGCCTGGGTGACAGAGCAAGACTCCGCCTCAAAAAAAAAAAAAAAAAAAAAAAAAAAAAAGGAACCCCGTCTCTACTAAAAATACAAAAATTAGCCAGGCATGGTGGCGGGCACCTGTAATCCCAGCTACTCGGGAGG